GGGCATGTGCTCAGGACCTACAAGTGCAGAGATGCAGGGCAGGGGAGCAGACAAGTGATTGGATTACTGGCCTTGTTGGTCTGGGCTGAAGGGGGGGCCTGCTGGAAGGGGATAAGCAGCCACAGAAGGAGAGGTGGTGTTGGGCCCCCCCATGCCAGCTGGACTCCATCTTCGTGCCCCCTCTGGTTGGTGTGTTAGTGTGTGCTTGCATGGTGGGACGGGAGGCTGGGAGGGCTCGAGGCTGTCACAATGCGGAGGCTTCTCTCTGCTAAACTTCCATCTCACTTGTATTTTGAGAAGTGGGGATGAGGGCAAAGGTGCCCAGGGTACAAGAAGGGACAGCACCAAAGGCTGGGTAGGACCCTAGACTAGGAGTCAGACATGGAGGCAGAACTAAATGACATCTCTGAGCCCACTTGCCCCATCCAAGAGATGGGAATAACTCTGCCCATGTGCCTCAGGGCAGGTCACCTACCATTCTCACCTCCTGGGTTCCCTCTCTGCCCAGTAAACATCACGGACATCCTGTCTCTGCTGTGGACTTCACAGAGTTGTTGTGAGGAACAGATCAGGTCATGAACAAGAAAACACGTGGGAGAAAATAAAATATATGGGGGGGGGGGTGGATTACAGAAAGGACCTGAGTGGGGAAAATCAAGGAGCCTGGCTTCTGCTGCTGGCTCTGCTGCTATATTTTTAGGACATTGGCTTGACACCTATAATAGAGACCCAAAACAATAGTGTTTTCAATAAAACAGAACTTATTTCTCCCTCACGTTAAAGTATACTTGGCAGTTAAGGCTGGCATGGTGGCTTCACCAATCACAAGAGATCCAGGTTCCTTCTATCTTCTTGCTCTGCCATCTTCCCCCTTATGGCCCAAGATGGCTGCTCCACCTCCAGCCCTTCTGTCTACGTTCCAATCAACAGAAGGAGGACAAGGGGAGGGGGCAGGAACCCTTCTCCTTCCTTTTAAAGGCACAACCCAGAAAGTGGTCGCATCACTTCCATTCATATCCCATCAGCCAGGATTTAATCACATGGCCACACCTACCTGCAAGGGAGTCTGGGAATGTAGTCTTTCGCCATGTGTGAAAGGGCAAAGAGATATTGAGGGACAACCTACAATTTTTTCCACAGTTGCTGACTTGTGTGGGCAATTCACATCTACAGTGGAGCCATAGTTTCTTCGTTTGCAAATTCATTCATTCATTATAATATAATACAATATAATATAACATAATATATATAATATATAATATAATAATATATTTCTATATAAAATAATAATATATAATAATATAATATATAATTATTTAATATATACATTATATATTATATAGTATATTTTGGCATATATATTATATAATATGACACATAGATATCATATGTTTTGGCATATATATTATATAATATAACATATATTATATATATATGCCATGCTTGTAGTATAAAGAACCACTTGATTGCTAATGGATCCTCTCACTAGCTGGACCATAGGCCCCCGAGGTCTGGTGTGAGGTCTGTCTTGCTCACCGCTCTATACCCGCAGCTTCCAGTGCAGGGACCGACACGCAGAAGCCATGTAATTAGCTGCCCATGGATGATGAATGGATGGCCCTTCTGGCTTTTGTATTTGGTGAGGACATCTTTCCTCACTCAAGGGTTTAAGTGTTTCCCTTTTCAGGACTCCTGGCTCCACCACCCCTTATCCCTGTGTGCCAAGCCTTGCGGAGCCTGTGAAGTATAAAATGTGCTGTGAGCCAGAATCTTGAGAGTGGGATTAAAAATAAATGAAAGGGCATCAAAACAAGTCAACCACAAGCAATGGCTTTCCAGGGTAATTCCAGGGTAATTAGGCATCAGTGGTAGATGCAAGGACAGAGCGCAGACTCGAACTGCCAAGCGTTCCTATCAACACCACTACTGTGTCAGGCAGAGAATGCACTGGGCCTGGCTTGAGCCCTTCCATGACCCTCCACTCCTGGGGGACATCAAGCAAGACCGTCCCGGTCAGGGACAGGTCAGGGAGGACAGGTTCTAGTTCTAGCCCTGAGGCTCACATGCTGGATGGATCCTAGGAAGATCCATGCCCCTTTGAGCCTCAGTCTCCTCATCCATGAAAGAGGTTAATAATAGGATCTATCTATTATCAACTATCAAGCACGGAAAACAAGGGTACCCACTTCATGGGCAGAAGTTCACAGCACGCTTAGCATCTCTGCAAATTTTTCACAGTGTGCCAGGCTCAAAGAAATACCAGAGGGTTGGGGCGCCTGGGTGGCTCAGTCAGTTAAGCGTCTGCCTTCAATTCAGGTCATGATCCGGGGTCCTGGGATGGAGCCCCGTGTCAGGCTCCTGGCTCAGCAGGGAGCCTGCTTCTCCCTTTCCCTCTGCCCCTCCGTTCTGCTTGTTCTCTCCCTTTCTCTCTCTCTCTGTCAAATAAATGAATAAAATCTTTAAAAAAAAAAAAAAAGAAGGAAATACCAGAGGGTTGTTCATTAAGCAGTTAGGTTCAAACAACTTAATAGTAGTTTGCCCAGTACCCAGCAGATATCACTGTACCTCCCTCAAAATTGTAAAATATTTTGCAGTGTCTCTGTGAGTTTTCTGCAGGGCCTCGGGGGTGCCGGGGCACATGGTTTGGGAACTGCAGCCCTAAGGTTTTGAGGCTGAAATGGGGTTATGTGTGTCGGGGGCTTAGCATGATGCCTGGTCTAGAGTAGATCAATAAATGTTGGTGGTCCTAAATTATCCTTCAACTGTCATTCAGAAATCAGCATCTTTCTCATTTTTCTGCATCTCCCGCCAATGCCATGGCAATTCCTTCTGCCTCGGGCTCCTGCCACCTCCTGGTTTCTGCTTGCCACCTTCCCCCTGGGCCCCTCTGCACCCAAGGCCCCTCCTCACCGAACTTCCTTCCTGGTCTAGAATTGGGGCTCCCACTTCTCCACTCCTCCCTGACTCCACATGCTTGGCAGGATCTCTTTGCTGGCAGAGTGGGCGTCCCTGCCTCGTCACTTTGGGCCGGGCTACGTGATTCTCTCTGTCCAGTGGTACCCGGCAAAGTGGTAGCGCGGTAGTCTTGAGTCTCGGCCGTAAGAGACATTGCAGGGTTCCACTTGCTCTCCCATCCTTTGCCATTGGCAAGAGAAAAACCCGCTTAGTGATTCCAGTGGCCCACGGAGCAGGCTCAGAGCTGCACCCCTGCAGACCATCCCAGTCAAGAGCAAAAAGAAGTGATTGTTGTTGGAAGGTATGGCGTTTTGGAGAGCTGTGTCACACAGTGTTCCGTGACAATCTGACCTCTCCATCAGTGGCAAATTCCCCTTCTCTGAGAGAAGACCTGATTGAATCATTTGGTCACCACGCAGGACCCAGCTTCTCTCACACCGTTTCATACCCGCAAACTGTCCTGTCCTGTCCTATCTGCAGACAGCTGCCTCGGGCTGGGGCACCCACCTCTGACCCAGACAATTGCCCTCTAATTACAGGGTCATGGGACACACAGCCTGGCGACTTGCCTGGAAGAAATCATTTCTGGCCCCTGTGGTTAGGAGGTAATGTGAATGTGGCAGACAAGAGTTTCTCAGACCCTCTCTGGTTCTAAAGAATGACCACGGAACTAGGAAAAATTGCACCTAAAATTTTCTCTGCGTGTGGCAGAATGCATCTCAGGCTGTAAACCCCAGGGCACAAGAAAGGTAACATTTTTTTTTTAAGATTTTATTTATTTATTTGACAGAGAGAGACACAGCGAGAGAGGGAACACAAGCAGGGGGAGTGGGAGAGGGAGAAGCAGGCTTCCCACGGAGCGGGGAGCCCGATGTGGGACTCGATCCCAGGACCCTGGGATCATGACCTGAGCCGAAGGCAGACGCTGAACGACTGAGCCACCCAGGTGCCCCGAAAGGTAACATTTCTTACAACTCAGTTTGGTAACTATTTTGAGTCTCATTCTACCTAAGATGGAAAAGATGAGGCCCAAGTTCACATAGAAAGTTTGGTAGAGCTGGGGGTTAGATCGCAGGTGTCCTGGCTTCCTGTAGGGACCCCTTTTCTTGCCTGGTGGATCACAGGCTTGCCAGGAGCCCCAGGTCCCACCTCCAAGACAGTGGAGGCCCCCCCACATCATTCAGGCTGTGCCTCCTCACTCCACTGAGTGCCTGCTGGGGAGAATTCTGCACGGCACTTTCCTCCCGCTGAGTCCCAGTCTGCCTCCCTAGGTCCTGTACCCACCACCCTAGCTCTGAATCCAGGACTACTCTAAAGGTACACTCTTTTTTTCTTTAATTTATAAACATTTACTTTCATTTTTACTCCTATGAATTTGATTTAGTTCTTTTTTGAATCTGCCTTTTTTAGTAATCTTTTCTGTTTTTTATTCCTTTTTGTAAAGAATTTAATTCTTTCCAAAATACTTTGTTGTTATCTTCATCTGAAGTTGTTGGGAGAAGAGGGGCCTAACCCTGCTGTTGACGGTGTTTGCTGACTCTCACTTATGGTGGCTGGTTCCCTTGTAATTCTGAATTCTGAATTCCTCTGTAGGGGAGCTTTGTCTCTGGGCAGCTTGGGCAGCCTGGGTTGAGAGCAAGTCCCTCCAAAATGGGTTGAGTTGGTTTTACTGGTCCCCTCAGCTCTTTGTCTGGGATTACAGTGTTAATTCTTAGTTTGGGGTTCCTAGTTCATGTGGCTAGAATAAATTATTTTAAACCCCATGTGAGAATATACCTTATTTATTTCCATCATAATATTAATTTGATTATTGTTTGTTTCCAACCACTCCAATGTCCTCCAGAAAAGTGGGACCTATGTCTCTCTGATTTGGGGTCGTATCCCCAGTGCCTAGAGCAGAACTTGGTACATGGTAGACACTCAATAAGTGTTAACTCAAAGAAACAACTAAAAAATACCCACTTGATAGTGTGTTGTGAAGAATAAATGGTGTGTCCGTAAGCCTGTGTTTGCCCAATTAAAAATGAGGTTTTATTGTCTCACATAACAGGCCGATCTGTTGGTGATGCTGTGACTCAATGGTTTCTAATATCTCTGCAATTTTTTTGGCCTTTGTCTTAGGGTAGCAAGATGATTACTGTAGCTCCAGGCATCACGTCCACATTCCAGGCCAAAGGAAGGAGAAGAAAGTTGGAGTTTAGGGGGAGCTTCATTGACATTTTTCCTTTTATCAGGAAGGTAAGTTTCCCTAGAAATCTAACAGCAAATTTCTGCTTTGATCTCCTTTTCTATAAATGGGTCACAAGGACACCCCAGAAGCTAGGGGACCTGGAAAGTGACTCTTCGGAGAGGTGAGGAAGGAGGGAGGGGATTAGGGACACAGATGCAGTATCTGCCCCAAATGGGGTCCTACCTATGTAAAGCACTTGGAGAAAACTAAGCCTTCAGAAAGGGACACCTATTCTCATAATTATTAATTCATAATTCATAATATATTGATAATTATTATCATTGAAAGCTTTACAGTCACTATGATCCTGTTGGCATCAGACTTTGGACTCTGGAACCACTGGGTACTGAAGTGCCCATACCCCAGTGGTCTCCCTCCCTCCCTCCTTATTCTGTTCAGAGCACTGAAGCCCTTTAAAAAAAAAAAAACAACCAACTACATTTGTCCAACGTAAGCCACGTCCTGCTCTCATTAACTCCATCCTCAGTGACTTAGCCAGACCCTGCTCCCTGCCAGAAGCAGGTAGGAGAGACTGTACAAATCAAAGATCCCTTGGGCCCATCAACAGGTCAGCGTCAACTTTTCCTCCAAGGACGCTGCGATGAAAACAGAAGAGCCAACCCCAAGTCTTGGGCAGACCCTGGAGTGGCTGCGAAAGGAGCTGGTAAGGCTTTGCATTTCTTTTCACCGGATGACTCCACCCCATATCTTCTCAGGTTCCCTGGGACCCCCTCGCAGGAGCCCCCCGGCTGGGGCAGAGGCTGCAGTTAGGGTGTAGGTCCTGTGGGCCACCCTCCCACCCCCGATACCTGCCATAAAGCACACAAGCGCTGTCTCAGGTGCCTGGATAAGTAGGTCGTGGCCTACATAGGAGGAGGCTCTGGGTGCAGTGCCGGCCAGACTGGTCTTAGAATTACACCGAGTCCTGGGAGTGCGCCCAGCTCTGTACTGTGCTCTGAACAGAATAAGGAGGGAGGGAGGGAGGGTTTCCTCACCATACAATGGGGATGATAATAATACCGACAGTGCAGGGGTTATTGTACTAGCTTGGGAAGGAGACAGGTGTAATCCACTTCGTGTCTGCTTGGCTGTCACCACCGTTGTCCAGCACACCCACTGTCCTGGCCCAGACCCTCTAGAAAGCAGAAGCCCACACAAGGATTGGGGTCCTAACGATTTATTTGGAGATGCAGCTCAGAGCGGTGAGAGTGAAGGAAACAGGGAGCGGCGGCAAAGGGCGATGCTCTGTGAGATGACGCCCCTTGTCACCAAGCAGGCCACCACTTTGCAAGGGACCTTAAGAGGCCCAGCGCTCTCTCAGCAGCTGGTTTTCCTGGCCGCAGGTTTCTCTGCAGGAGGGCAAGGGGAGCTGCACCCCGGGGAGAGAGAAGAAAAGGAACTCGGCCTGCCCAGCTCACTGCCGTCTCCTGTTTGCTGTGGTAAAGATCCACCCCAGAGGCATTAACTCTCCTGAATTTATGGATTATGTTACTTGGTCCCTTGGGGGCTGCTCAAGAAGCCAGGCCTTATGCCCCTCTTTGTGCTGTTTTCTCCAAGTCCAAAAATTGAGGGATGCCCCCAAAGTGCATGGGGACACCAGGCAAGAAAGAGAAAGAAGTGGTTCAGGGAACCTCAAAAAGCACCCAAGGTTTGGATCCCAATAGGCCAGCTTCTCAGTCAGGGGAGAGACACATGGGATTATCCAAAAATGACCTTTCTGGGTTGCCAGGTAACAGACCAGCTGGAACCCAATCCTGTCCTCACCCTAGTGGGTAGGGCTGACCCAGTAGGGCCTCTCATGGGACCAGGGGACTCCAGCAGCAGGAGGGGCAGCTTCTCATAGTCCACAGGGATCCAGAGGCTGGGCAGGGGCCTTCCCTATGCTCCCCTAAACACTGGGCTCCCACACTGAGTCTGCTTGGTGCCTAAACCCAAAAGGCCAATATCCACCTAATAAGGTAACTCTCTCTCACCACATAAAGAGGGAAAACAAGGCAGGGCTGGGGGAAGCCCACCTGGGGCACAGCCTCCCAGGCCCAAGCACCTCCCGCCACATGATGCCAAGAGACGGGAGCCAGGAGTCTCCACTTACGGATGCCAGACTTGTAACTTTCCCAGGCGAGGCTGTTTTATCCTCGATCACATGGAATTTACATGACTCCAAAAGGACACCTAAGCTCAGCCAAGAGGCTCCATTTGACGGTCAGGGAAGGATCAGTCCTGGACAGTGACTTCATGCAGCAGAAGGAACAAATCGGTAACATGACTACTATGGACAATAGTCTGGTGCTGTCCCCTCCCTTTATGGCCCTTGTGTGATGAGGATCATGGAAGCCCCAAAGATCTGGTGGGATCTAAAAGAGGGGAGAGAACTGCTGCCATCTTGTGACAAGGCAAACCAGCCTGATGACTAAGGGGCACTCAGAGGCAGGAAAGAGCTTTCAGTGCGGAACTTGAGCAAACTGAGCCCAGAGCACGCCTTATCACCGCAGGACCTCTTGCCCCTGAGATGGGACACCTCCCTCCTGTGGAAGCCAGTTTGCTCAGGATTCCTGGCCCTCGACTCCAAGGGCATGGAGCTTCCCACCTCCCTTACCACCGCTTGCCCGCTGGGTGCCTCACTGCATTCTCGAGAGCATGGGCCCACAGCAGCGCTAAAGGTTGAATGATAAAAACGTGGGGGAGGACAACCCTAAAATTGAGAAAACACAGACTTAATGTTTTCCCAAGACTTTGGGAAACAAATTGTCACACTGTATGATCCCTGCTACCGCTCGCACTGCAGCCTGGGGAGCCCCAGTGTTCTCAGGAGGTGGTTCTCCCTCCTTCGGTCTACTCTCTTGGAAGGAAGCTACTGCTGGAGTGCAGGAGATGGGCTTAATCTTCACACTGTGAAAGAATTAGTTTGTCATGAAATAAAAGGCTATTCCAGTGGAGAAATAATGTTAATAATTATCTCTTGGAGAGACAGACAGATGGGAGGGATACTGTTCCCAGTGACGCCTCTGGGGGAGCAGACTGAGCTGCGGGCAGGGGTGGGATGAGATGCGCCTGGGTGGCTCAGTTGGTTAAGCGACTGCTTAGTGATCCTGGAGTGCCAGGATCGAGTCCCGCATTGGGCTCCCTGCTCGGCAGGGAGTCTGCTTCTCCCTCTGACCCCCCTCCCTCTCATGCTCTCTAACATTCTCTCTCTCTCAATAAATAAAAAAAAATCTAAAAAAAAAAAAAAAAAAGAACAATAGTAAACTCCTTAACGGTAGAAAACTGCTGGGTTCTCCTATCTGCTTCTGCATGCAATCAGATACCATATCATGCATCACGTAGCTTCTGGAAAACTCCACTGTAGGCTCATAAGAGGATGAAAGGGCAGGCAATATCTTAGTATTGTAATGAAAGTCGTTTTGACCTTCTGAACCCCTGAAAGGGTTTCTGGGATCCAAGGGTTCCCTGGACCTTACGTTGAGGATCACTGTTCCAAAGGGCTCCTGCCTGCCTATAGGGTGCACGCCACTTTGTTTTAATATGAAGTCACTTTCACCTTAATACCTATAAAGTGATTTGTTTGTTGCAGTGAGGATTAAAGCATACAGTGGGGGTGTAAATAAGAATAACATTTGATAATGATGATGATGATGAAGATGATCACAGAGCTTGGTAGTTGAGCATCTCGTATTTTAAAGATTTATTTATTTATTTGAGAGAGAGCATGAGTATGGGGGCAGAGGGAGAGAGAGAGTCTCAAGCAGACTCCCTGCTGAGCGCAGAGCAGGATGCAGGGCTCAATCCCATGACCCTGAGATCACGACCTGAGCCCAAATTAAGAGTCCGAGGCCCAACTTACTGAGCCACCCAGGCGCCCCAAGCATCTCGTATTTTAGAGCACGGGCTAACTCATTCAGTCCTCCTAAGGGCCTTGAAAGGTAAGTAATTTGCTTTCCACTTTGCAGATGAAGAAACTGAGGCTTGGGTGGACACGGCTCCTGCGAGGCTGTGGGTTTGTCTCCAATGAGACAGTGATGTGGGAATAAGCTTTCTGGGGAACGCCCAGCCCCCTCACACTGATTCTCTCTCCCAGGCTGAGATGCAAGTTCAAGACCAGAGACTCCTGCTCACACTGAGGCATCTTCACAGTGTCCTGCAGGAGCTGCGCACTGAGAGTGCCCCCTGGGAGGACGCCAGGTCCAGCGGAGGGACGTCCCCCCGCAGAGCTCGAGCAGGCTCGGAAAGCAGGGGCCGCCCCCCCATCTCCTCCCAGGGGCTCGCCCAGCTCCTCCAAGGGACAGACAGCAGACGAAGCTCCCTCCCTTAACTGGTCAGGCCTGACCCTGGTGCTTGAACCCTCCCACCACCTGTCCAAACTTTGTGATGTTGCTGGGGGAGAGCACTACAATGGGAGTCAGGGAGCCAGGGCTCTGGGTTCTTCTCTGCCCTCATCCTCGGCGTGTCCCTAAACCCGTCACTCGACTCTTTTTCTGCTGTTCCTCAGGGGTTTTGGTGAGGCACAAATAAGATATCAGATGCGGACATACTTCTTAAACACGCCTCTGGCCAGCTCATGACAGCAATCCTGCCCTCCGGCATTTCCCCCCAAGGGGATCATCAGAACAAAGAACTCAGTGTGCGCCCAGGATGTCTCGCGTTGCTATGGTGAAAAACAGAGCCCCCGCCCCGCTCATAGTGACTCAGCCATTGTTTCCTGGCTTCCCGGCACACCGGCCCTTCCCTCTGTCTGAAAGCCATAGGGCACCACTCTGGCCCGAGGGATGGCCATGTGACCAGGCCTGGCCAATAATAACTCACGATCACCCTAACAACATGACTGGCCAACCGGGGACCACGGGACTCAACAGAGCAGCCAATCACAGCCCTTCTCTGGGATCCCTCTCTGGATGGTCTTGCCGCTGGAGTTGCAAAGCGGGGGACGGCCAAGGGCCACGTGCCGTGCCGGGTGAAGGACACCTGAGCGCAGTAGGAAAGAAAGAGAGGTGGAGGGAGGGCCACAGAGCTGGGCAGAGAGGAAGGTGCCAGCTCCTTTTAGTCCCTGGTTTCAGGCCCTAGTTTTGTGAGTTACTCCTGCATTCTTTCCATGACAGAAACCAGTAAATCCCACCACCACCATCCTCCACCACACACACCAATTTGGTTTTGCCTAAGCTGACTTGAGGAGGGTTTCCCTCCAGGTCAACCGACACGATCCTGAGGAACACAATCCAGATATTTCAAGAAGCAAAGAGAAATGCTGAAAAAGAAGGCACTTCGCTCACTCAGGGTTGGCAACAGCCCCGCGGCCGCAGACCAAGGTCTATGATGTGGCAGAACGCTCAGTTGTATGGGGTGCTGGCCTCATCACTTTGACAGATTATATCTGCCTATAAGAAAGACTTTAAATAAGACAGCAGAAAATTTAAAAGGTCTCATGTTAAGATGGCCCAATTCTTGGGGCGCCTGGGTGGCTCAGTCGTTGGGTGTCTGCCTTCAGCTCAGGTCATGGTGCCAGGACCCTGGGATCGAGCCCCGCGTCGGGCTCCCTGCTCCAAGGGAAGCCTGCTTCTCCCTCTCCCTCTCCCCCTGCTTGTGTTCCCTCTCTCGCTGTGTCTCTCTCTGTCAAATAATAAAAAAAAAGATGGCCCAGTTCTTGGTAGGACTTTTTATTTTTGAAAATCCACTTGCATGTTGTTGGAATATCATTATTATGGCTTTGAAAAAGTAAACCCATTGTATACAGAGGCAAAGGGGGAAGGTGTGTTATATGTACAATGTTTATAGTCAGACTAACCTGGGATCTTAATACAATATTTGATAGTACAAAAAATACTTGTCTAGCAACAGCTGAATGCATCAACAAAATGTGGTACATACATAAAACAGAATACCAGTCAGCCTTAAAAAGGAAGGAAATTCTGGCATGTGCTACAAATGGGTGACTTTTGAAGACATGATGCTAAGTGACATGAGCCAGTTACAGAAGGACACTGTATGATTCCATTTACATGAGGCACCTGGAGTAGTCAAATCCGTAGAGACAGAGAGTAGAAGGGTGGCTGCCAGGAGCTTAGTGAGGGGGCAATGGGGCGTTAGTATCTAAAGGGTACAGAGTTTCAGTTTGGCAAGATGAAAAAAGTTCTATGGATAAATGCAGGTGGTGGTGGTATAACAGTGTGAATATACTTGATGCCACTGAACTGCATGCTTTAAAATGGTTAAAATGGGGGCATCTGAGTGGCTCAGTCGGTTAAGCACCTGCCTTCAGCTCAGGTCATAATCTCCAGGTCCTGGGATGGAGCCCCGCTCAGTGGGAAGTCTGCTTCTCCCTCTCCCTCTGCCCCTCCCCCTGCTCATGTGCACTCTCTCTCTCTCTCTCAAATGAATAAATAAAATCTTTTTAAGGATGGTTAAAATGGTAACGTTTACGTTTGTTGTATTTTACCACAATTAAAAATAAATACTTAAAAAAAATACCTGTACTGTGATGCTGGGGCTGGGACCCCAAAAACCACATTTCTGTGTTACCAGCTGCTCCGGGTTCGACTTTGAGAGGCTTTGCCAACAAGCAGGGTGAGCCTGGAGGGACACCACAGGGCTAGAGCAGAGGGAAGGAGCTTGCTTCTTCATCTCCATTCTCTGCCGCTGCCCATGGGTCCCAGTTCCTGGGAGCACCAGCCAGCAGGGCTGCTTCTCACAGGAGCATTTCTCTTCCCAAGGGGCCCTTCTCCCAAAGCCAGAGACACCAGCTCTGGATGGCCGGAGGCTCCTCCCCTAAAGCCCAGTTGCTACCCCATCTGGGCCTTCTTGAGTGGGCAAGACGTGAGCCCCAGGTGAGCAGAACTCCCTTCTCAAATTTCTGAAGTTTACTCCCCAGGGCTCCTCCTCTGTTTCTAAATTTTAATAATTTTTACCCTCAGCGCTGGGGTTGGTAAATGCTTCCTGCAAGCACTACCTTCATTATATCTTAGAGTTCTTTTTACAACCCTTCAGTCACCTAGTTAACAACTTTATACCTAGTTAGCAATTCTTTTTTTTTTTTTTTTTTTTTTTAGAGTGAGGGTGCATATGAGTGGGAGCTGATACGCAGAGAATCTCAAGCAGACTCCCCTCTGAGCACGGAGCCCAACACAGGGCTCGATCTCATGACTCTGAGATCAGGACCTGAGCCAAAACCAAGAGTTGGATGCTTAACCGACTGAGCCACCCAGGTGCCCCAGCAATTCTTTATGTTAAATTCTCTCCCTTAAATAACAGGGGCGGCTTCTGTCTCCTGCCTGTCTCTGACGGGCATGGTTCTGGCTAGTCCCACCAGCGCTGCTGGAATCACTGGTGTCTAAGTCCATGGGTATGCAAGAACAAGAGTTTCTCCAGGGCGTGTAATGGAGGGTTGAATTGGAAGTAGGTGAATGCTCAAGTTTATAAGAAACCCGTTTTCCATGGTGGGCCACTTACACTCCCAAAAGCAGTGTCTCCGAGTCCCTGTTGCTCCACATTGTCACCAACACTTGGTATTATCAGTCTTCACTGTTGCCAAGAGAATGGGTGCAAAATGATATTACATTGTGATCTTAACGTACATGCTCCTGATTACAAACCTGATTGTTAATCTGAGTTCTCATTCCAGCTCCACCATTAACTTACTTTTTTTTTTTTTTTAGGATTTTATTTATTTATTTTTGAGAGAGAGAGAAAGAGCGTGCACAAGCAGGGGGAGTGGCAGGCAGAGGGAGAAGCGGGCTCCCCACTGAGCAAGGAGTCCCATGCAGGACTTGATCCCAGAACCCCAGGTTCATGACCTGAGCTGAAGGCAGACGCTTAATTGAGTCACCCAGGAGTCCCTTTTTACTTTTTTCAATTAGTTACTCAACCTCTCTGAGCCTCAGTTATCTTATCTGGAAAAAAAAAAAAAAAAAAAAAAAGGATAATATCTACCTCCTGGGATGATTGTACAGATTAAATGAGATAATGCATAGAAATCACTTGACCCAGCACTTGGCATTGGAAAGGCTAATAAATGGCAACTTTGTCGTTACTGTCTTGTGATTATGTGCTAATTCATGAAACTGTGACTATTACATTTAGACAAGCTTGTTGGCAAGCATCATGGAGCGAGATACCTGCCTGGCCGTGCAAAGCAGAAGGACACTGGTCTGCCATGCCCAATGTCAACCACCAGCACCCACTGCCCCTCCCAGCTTCTCACAGCTGGGCCCCAAGACCAAAAACCCGTGCCAAGTGTCCCTCTACCAATCTAGGAAGATAGACCCCTGGACTGTCTTCTCTGCTGGGGTATTTGTTGTTCTCCAAGACCCCACATCTGGAGCCAAGGTTCAGTTCCTGATGCCCGGTCAGAGCAAACTCAGCCCAACCCTAGAGGCTGGGGCACGGGGACTTGGAGTATAAGTGGCATCTTCAGCATGGACTCCTAGAGGGCTGGGCTGGAAATCACGTATGTCCGCAACAGACGGTACGCACCAGAGGGAGCATGACGTCGTGGTCTCAGAAAGGAAAATCCTATGTTTTCTCTGCTAAAGCAGCAAAACAAGACTATACACCCAAGCCTTGCATCCAAGGGTGAGGAGAGGAGGGACAGAGATGTGAAAAAGAAAGATGAGGTTGGAAGCTAAAAAATGAGGAGCAGGAAGAAGAGCCATTCAAGATGTGAATAGCCAGAGCGGGTTAGGGCAGGCAGCTCAGGACTTACACTGTGACTAATGAGAAATGATCAGAGGCTCACTTTTGCATGGTGCCAGCTTCCAGTCCTGGGCCAGGCGGGACACCTTGCAGAGCCCCCTTTCTGGCTGTCTAGTATGTCACAGACTGTCCCCAAACTTAAAACGACAATCATTTTACTGTTGCAACAGCCTGTCATTATTGTAGTAGATCATATTTCCCACATTTCTGGGGATTGGCGGGGCTCAGCTGGCGGGTCTTGCTGCGGGTCCCTCGGGTGGCTGCAGTCACGTGGTGGCTGTGTGTGTGGCTTCTTCGTGTCTGGCAGCGGATGCTGGCTGTTGCTGGGGACCTCAGCTGAGGCTGTCAGCTGCAATGCCTACAGATGCCCCCTCCGTGTGGCCTCATAGAGTGGTGGCTGGTGCCAAGAACATAGCTTTGGAAGTCACATGGTTTCACTACATTGCATTCCCTGCAGTAGAAGTCAGGCAACAAGATAGCTCATATTCAAGAGGAAGAGAATTAGACTCCACCTCTTGAGGGAGGGTGTAAAGAGTTAGCAGGCATGTTATAAGGCCAGCACACCAGAAGGGCCAGCGATCTTCCTGGTGGGGCACACGGGCTGCAAGGAATGGCACTAACTCAAGCGGGGCTTGCTGTAAAGACAGGCAGCTTGATAAGAGAGGTAGAATGTCATCACCATCCAGGAGCAGAAACTCTTAGTGGTGAAGGACATGCCTGGATCTAGAAGAGTTCACTCTGTTGTCCCAGCTTTCCAGTGTCACAACGTGGTACTGACAGGTGGGCTCAGCTCTGCTGCTGTGACAAACCCTGGCAGCTCAGTGCCTCGACACAACCAAGGTCCACTTCTTGCTCACGCCACGTGTGCAGGTTGGTCGGGGAATATGCTCCTGCTCAGGGACCCAGTCACCACCCAGAATGTCACCAGATGCCACAGCAGGGAAGATACATCTGGAGAGTCACTCGCTGGCTCTTTGACACGTCAGCCAAGAAGGGATGTATGTCCCTTCTGCCCCCAGCCCTTTAGCTAGGCTTAGTCATGTGGTCTGTCCCAGCAAAAGGCTGGGACGGGTGGGGAGTGGATGGGGAGCACCCTCACCTCAGATACATGTCCCTTCTCTCTGCGCAAATCAGCTGTTCGCCCTGTCACAGCGGGTCCTCATCAGTCTCTCATCAGAAGCTCCTCGGGCACACGTTAGAAATGCTGGCACCTGGGTGCCACCCAGGCCTGCTGAATCCGAGCTGCTGGGTGAGGGCCTGGGGACCGAGTCTGCATGACCCTACCCGCCACCCTCCAGCCCCCACCCCCCACCCAGGGGAAGTCTGGGAACCAGGGCTGTAGCCTGTTCTGCATAGTCTGTCCTACCCTGTGGCTTCCGCTTCTGGTGACTATGCCTCCTGGGTTTTACTTTCTGGTCTTCTCTCTGCATCTTCTCAGTCTCCACTCTTATGGCGAAAGATTTTGCCCTCCTGCTATCTCTCTACGTCAAAGTCTGTACAGAGGGGACCTGATGGATCCACTCAAATTTTGACACCTGGACACACCGTAGGTTGTTAGCATAAGGTAGGTTTATTCTCCCCTCATCCCCCTCCTCCTCCGCCTCCTCCTCCCTCCTCTCCTTCTCATTATCATCAAATACACAGGTAATATAATGTAGAGATTAAGAGTGAGGGCTCTGACTCCAGGCTGCCTGGGTTTGAATCCCAGGTCTGCTCCTTACTAGCTCTGTGACTTGAGGCAAATCACTTTTCTTGCCTCAGTTTGCTCCACCATCAAGTGGGGTCGTAACAGAAGTTACCTCATAGGGCTATTGAGCAAATGAAATGAGTCAATATGATCTTGGCCACATAAATTTGTTACTATAATTCATAAGAGCTACCAGTTGGAGCACCTGGGTGGCTCAGTCGGTTAAGCGCCTGACTCTTCATTTCAGCGCAGGTCAAGATTTCAGGGTCGTGAGATTGAGCCCCACACCTCGGGCTCTGCGCTGGGTGTGAAGCCTGCTTGAGATTCTTTCTCTCCCTCTGCCCCCCCCCCGCCCTCGTGTGCAAACGCTATCTCATAAATAGATAACCTTAAAAAGAAAAATAACAGCTACCATTTTTATTTTTTTTTAATTTAATTTTTTTTTTTAAGATTTTATTTATTTATTCATGAGAGACAGAGAGAGAGACAGAGGCAGAGGGAGAAGCAGGATCCCCGTGGAGCAGGGAGCCTGATGCGGGACTCGATCCCAGGACCCTGGGATCATGACCTGAGCCGAAGGCAGACGCTCAACCGACTGAGCCACCCAGGCGTCCCAACAGCTACCATTTTTAAAGTCAGCACAGTGTAGTGGTTGTAAGAACAGCCTGGAGCCTCACTGCCTCTGTTCAAATCCCAGTCACTAATTATGCGCCCTTGGGCCAGTCGTTAGACTCTCTGTGCCTCCGTTTCACTGTCTGTAGAATGGGAACAATAATATTTCCTACCTCCTGAGGTTGTGGTGAGGAACAAATGAGTTAATAGCATCAAACATTTACAATGGTGCCTGTCCTCTAATAAGGGCTATGAATGAGCCACGTAAGCTATTCATTTTCATTGTTCATCACTCACCCTGACTACCAGCACCATATGAAACACTGTAAAGATTTTATTGCACGAACCCACTCGACGGCTCTGCAAGAGTGATGTTACATCTCCATTTTATGGATGAAGGAACTGAGGGTTAGTGGAGCTAAGTTGACCGAAACAACACAATGAGTCAAGGTCAGCAGTGGCATTGATGTTTAGGCAGACGTATCTCCTGC